ATTAATATATCCCATGTTTAAATTTTTCTCCGTTGCATGTTGCATGTTGCTTCATGTTGAATTTTTGTCAATGTTAAGCCTATTGAAAATTTTTATAATAATAATCTATTGTATCATTAAAAATTATTTCTTTATTTTGTACAAACAAAATAAATATATTGAAAAATATAAAAATAAAAAAAATTATATTTCGGAAGTTAATCTATTATCAAAAGCATCCTGATTCATCATGACACAGTCTGACTGAAACACTTTAGGTTAACAGACGTTTCGGTTGATCATCATTCAGATAATTGATGCTCTACTGTACTTGCATAGATTTAACCTTGGGGACAATGCAATTGTGGTATTCAGGAGGACCAAACACCACTTTACTCAGTTTTTCACTACAATAGGTACTGTACAATCACATTAGGGATAGTTTAATTAATGAGAGCTGCTATTCTTGAAGAATACAACTGGCCTTGCAACCTGCACCAGCTCACGTACAATGTTCCATCATCTACTCGCATTCATATTCCTTAGTGGGGCTCTTGAGAGCACTCTCTCTGGGGGCATAAATGGCAATTAGCTTTCCCTTGCTTTGATTCAACTGTTGGTATATAGCTGCCTTTCAACTTTGTATTTTAATTCTTATTTTCTGTCTTATTTTTCAGTCTAAATTCAGTTAGTCCTAATTGTAAGTTAGATTAGGGACTCTTAGCTTGGTTTCAGATTAGGTTAAATTAGATTAGGGTTTGTTAGCTTTAGTTGTCTGGTTAGGTTCGTCCTGGGTTATGGTAAGTTAGTTTAGTTAGTGAGTAAGTTAATGTTTAAAAAAAATATAAATAAATACAAAAAAAAAAAATAATAATAATAATAATAAAAATTTTGGGATCTTGCTCATTTGTCTTTNCTTCCATAAAATTAATCGATTCTAGACTAATTCGACTCAACATTTCCAAAATACGTATAATTTTTTTGGGAATAATCCATATAAACTATGCTATAAACAAAAAATTGTAGGATTACTTACCAAGTGTGCACCGGTCGATGACGCCATTGCTTAAACTTGTTTTCATTGTGGAGATTGTCATCGAATGGTGCTTGCGTGCTTCCTGATAAATTATTTTTTTTGCGAAAAATTCACTGAACTTTCGAGACATCATTAATATAAATATAATTTTTATGGACATTAAATAATAAATGGTTTTTAGTAGGTCCGCTGCTCATTTAAACTCAACGGTTTGTACAATATCCGCTGTTGGTCTAGATTCAACCAATCCTGTCACAATACAAATCGGCGATGACGTTTTACCGAATTATACGAGCTTTTTTAGCGTATTTGTACAAATACTGTTGCAATTTTTTCGCCATCATATAGGAATCTGACTTACATGAACCTGTGTTATAGGGGGGTCGACTGTAAAAGTTTGGATTTAATTTACTACTCTTGTTGAGCAGTTATAGAAATATCTTGGTATGAGGGTACTAACTGAATTTTGATTCTGTAAATATTCCTGCACTTTTTAATAATTATCAACTGATAGACACTTGTTGTTAAATAATTTCAAACTATATAAAATATTTATTTATCAGGTGTGAATGTTACGATTATCTATTCGACATTGCAGTCAGAATGAAGCAGATGGGACTTGACCCGACTGCCAGACCTTCAAGTGAAAATGTACAGCATGTGGTTACTGTCCCACTAGTGTGTCAGACGGACGAGCATGGCATCGCCACTGCGGAAACCACCAAACAGACGAGTGAAAATATTCAGGTAATTGGATGCTTGACTATTTTTCTAACAATGAATATAATATTTATTATTATAGTTGAAATGAAAGTCAAAAGTAATTTTTAATTAATTTCCTTAAATGGCCAAATGTCCAAGCAGCATCAACCCACCCCTCTGAGACTTCCCGGAGTGGTGGACTGATGAATGAATTTGGATTGGTCAAAAAACCCAAAGAAATTTTTCAGAGTTGTCTATTTGGGATATGTCAGGCTCTATTCTCACTGGCCAGCTGCCCCATTATGGGTCCAACCAACTCATGAAAAATGATCCTCTTAATGTTCAAAGGGCAGAAAGAGTAAAAAAAAAAAAGTTGATTTTTTTTTAATGAAATGTCTTGGAAGTCTAATATTAACTTTGTAATTGAAAAAGGTATTATTGTCATCATTTTGTCCATTTTAATCACAAAAAAATATTTTTTGGTTTGTGCATGTTTCAGTGGAGTGACATATACAGATGTACTGTACTGTACATCAAATCTTGATCTATAACCTTCAAGAGATCATGATACATTGCTTGGTGGGTAGCATAGATCTCTTTTTCCTCTAGTTTATTTAACACCTGGATATGATATGCACATTTTATGACTTTGTAATGAAGGATTTCCCATACTATCAGTTGTGGCACAATGAGCACTTACCTGGCTTAGTTTTCTGATTGATAACATAGACTCTGTGTTATCACAGTTTCTATACCGCTGGGGAGGTTGGAAGTCTCCCGATCCGGCAACAGGTTGTTAAACCTTCTCACTGTCAAGATGGCTTAAAAATTTTCTCCTTTTATTTACCCCGTTGTAACAGGATTTAATGTTTCAGGTCGAGTGGAGGAGAGGGAGGAGTGCCGTCGGTAAAGCGATAGACGATATACGAGTAAAAGAAGACACCAATTTAACAAGGAAACAATGGTTTATTAGCTATCTATATAGACTGTACACTAACTATTATTGAGGGAAAATTCTGAGTCCCCTAACGCGAAGGGCCGAGAGAGAGTTTACAAAAATCTGTTCCATGCCTCTTCCTGTATTTCGATTTTCTTGAGGAAATAAGATACTGGTATCCAACTGGTCCAGAAATGGTACAATGGTACAATATTGGAAGGACACAATATTAAAGCAGTTGCCGGACACTAGCCGGTTGATGAACGACTCTCCCGAGAGGGGGTAGCAAGTGGCTTTTATAGTTTCATCGTGGGAGAATAGTCACGTGATTACTTATTGTGAGGTAAAAGGTATGCGGATGGGTCAAAGTTGTCCCCCGGGATCATGCTAACTATCAACTTTGGAGTTGGAATGTGGGATTATTTTTGAAGTGGACAGATGTTTACTTTGAATGAAAGGGGAGATTGGAATTTTTCCCTTTTTTGAGTTAGGTTTTAGTTTAGGTTTAAAGGACTTTAATTGAAAAATAATTGGCAAAAATTCCGGATTTCACATATAGAACTGTTTCGTTTGATATAGTGGGTTTTCCAGAAAGTTGTGCATCACGTACATTACCCATTTGCTTGAATTTGTTAACCAACAGTCTGATATTGGCACCAATAGGAACAGACTTCCCGAATTTCTTTCTGGGTTTCTGTACTTCCATTTAGTGTTTGTATATGCTTTGGTGGTTAATCCACCAAAGCATATGCAAATAACAGTGGCTCTATTTTCTTGGATCGACATGTTTCACATGACCTACATATAAATAATTTTGTTACTGATTTCACAAAAATGGATTCAGACTTTATAATCATTCTGTGTAAGTGTGAGGTTGCCAAATTGTGAACCCAAGTCAGGATAGTAGAAGTGGAGATTCATATGTGGTTGCAATGGACACCAAGACAGACATGCAGTTACAAAATATTCATTCTGTCTTACTGATACAAAAGGGGGTTACAGAAACCACTGCCTTTGATGTTCTCACAAGCGACAAGAAAGTCTGTTAGATCTTCTGTAAGAAAATCCCGAGAGAGAGAATGGTCTTTTCATTATCACAATTTCCATGGGCAAAATTGTCGATGGTCCAGAGAGGATGTTGATCCAGCAAGAGGGAATCGAAAGAGAGGTTGAAGACAACAAAGAAAGGTCTGACACTTAGAGAAATCAGAGGGAGAACTCTCTCATCTTTGAAATTCAAAGTTTTTATTATTTTCTACCTCAATTCACCCATTCCATTTAGTCACTTTTCCTCATTTTGCTTGCTAAGTGGTCAGTCACTTGTTATTAAATGTAACGATCTCAACTTAGATTGTGGAAGGGCTTGAAACTGACATCTAATTCAATTCCAACCAGAGATAGTTGACCTTGGGACATACATTGTCTCGTTTTCTTTTATCATGTTTCTGAGAAAAGGTTTTACTCACTTAATATTTAATTTTTTTTCTGTAAAAGGAAAATGTAATAATAATAATAACAAATTTAGTGGGGTTCTGGGTCATTTCCAGAGCCTCACATATTGTTTTTGATTAACTCTTTACAATAATAAGTAGCAGAGAGAAAAACATATTTAAAATTATTAAATTCTATTGTTTATTGACAATACAAGGATTTACAGTTTGAAGTTACAAAAAAATACTAAAATTTGCTGTTTTTCTGCATGAGCAGCACAAAAATAAACCAATCGGTTTTCCATTTCCACAGGAAAATTTGATGTTAATCTAAATAAAGTTGCACTGAATATTGTAAGGTATGATTATTTTTTAAATATGTATTTACAATATGTATTTATATTTTTTAAATATGTATTTACAGATAGCAGAGGCTAACATAGCGACTGTTGAAGAAATTGCATCTGGTCTCGAAAGAAGTAATGTACCATTTTTATTTTCCTTACACTAATTAGGTTTAACATGAGATTATTTGATAAAATTTCTTGCCTTTTGAATTTAGTTTAATATTTAAAGAAAAAATGTTTTTCATAAAACTACTATTGAGGACATTTTTCTCAATTTAAATTACTTAGTTCCCACCATCTTGGTCTTTCTTTGGTTGTATCCATTCATTAATAGATGCCAAATGATCTGCTGGGCTGTATTAAGGCCAATTTTAATAATCAGATATAATTATAGCCTGACAAATTTGGCAGATTGTTTGGCAATAATTAATAATAGGGTTATTGTATTTGTCATCAGTGGAACATGGTAGGTCATTTCTGGCTTAGTTTTCTGATTGATAACATAGATTCTGTGTTATCACAGTTTCTATACCGCTGGGGAGGTTGGAAGTCTCCCGATCCGGCAACAGGTTGTTAAACCTTCTCACTGTCAAGATGGCTTAAAAATTTTTTCCTTTTATTTACCCCGTTGTAACAGGATTTAATGTTTCAGGTCGAGTGGAGGAGAGGGAGGAGTGCCGTCGGTAAAGCGATAGACGATATACGAGTAAAAGAAGACACCAATTTAACAAGGAAACAATGGTTTATTAGCTATCTATATAGACTGTACACTAACTATTATTGAGGGAAAATTCTGAGTCCCCTAACGCGAAGGGCCGAGAGAGAGTTTACAAAAATCTGTTCCATGCCTCTTCCTGTATTTCGATTTTCTTGAGGAAATAAGATACTGGTATCCAACTGGTCCAGAAATGGTACAATGGTACAATATTGGAAGGACACAATATTAAAGCAGTTGCCGGACACTAGCCGGTTGATGAACGACTCTCCCGAGAGGGGGTAGCAAGTGGCTTTTATAGTTTCATCGTGGGAGAATAGTCACGTGATTACTTATTGTGAGGTAAAAGGTATGCGGATGGGTCAAAGTTGTCCCCCGGGATCATGCTAACTATCAACTTTGGAGTTGGAATGTGGGATTATTTTTGAAGTGGACAGATGTTTACTTTGAATGAAAGGGGAGATTGGAATTTTTCCCTTTTTTGAGTTAGGTTTTAGTTTAGGTTTAAAGGACTTTAATTGAAAAATAATTGGCAAAAATTCCGGATTTCACATATAGAACTGTTTCGTTTGATATAGTGGGTTTTCCAGAAAGTTGTGCATCACGTACATTACCCATTTGCTTGAATTTGTTAACCAACAGTCTGATATTGGCACCAATAGGAACAGACTTCCCGAATTTCTTTCTGGGTTTCTGTACTTCCATTTAGTGTTTGTATATGCTTTGGTGGTTAATCCACCAAAGCATATGCAAATAACAGTGGCTCTATTTTCTTGGATCGACATGTTTCACATGACCTACATATAAATAATTTTGTTAATGATTTCACAAAAATGGATTCAGACTTTATAATCATTCTGTGTAAGTGTGAGGTTGCCAAATTGTGAACCCAAGTCAGGATAGTAGAAGTGGAGATTCATAGGTGGTTGCAATGGACACCAAGACAGACATGCAGTTACAAAATATTCATTCTGTCTTACTGATACAAAAGGGGGTTACAGAAACCACTGCCTTTGATGTTCTCACAAGCGACAAGAAAGTCTGTTAGATCTTCTGTAAGAAAATCCCGAGAGAGAGAATGGTCTTTTCATTATCACAATTTCCATGGGCAAAATTGTCGATGGTCCAGAGAGGATGTTGATCCAGCAAGAGGGAATCGAAAGAGAGGTTGAAGACAACAAAGAAAGGTCTGACACTTAGAGAAATCAGAGGGAGAACTCTCTCATCTTTGAAATTCAAAGTTTTTATTATTTTCTACCTCAATTCACCCATTCCATTTAGTCACTTTTCCTCATTTTGCTTGCTAAGTGGTCAGTCACTTGTTATTAAATGTAACGATCTCAACTTAGATTGTGGAAGGGCTTGAAACTGACATCTAATTCAATTCCAACCAGAGATAGTTGACCTTGGGACATACATTGTCTCGTTTTCTTTTATCATGTTTCTGAGAAAAGGTTTTACTCACTTAATATTTAATTTTTTTTCTGTAAAAGGAAAATGTAATAATAATAATAACAAATTTAGTGGGGTTCTGGGTCATTTCCAGAGCCTCACATATTGTTTTTGATTAACTCTTTACAATAATAAGTAGCAGAGAGAAAAACATATTTAAAATTATTAAATTCTATTGTTTATTGACAATACAAGGATTTACAGTTTGAAGTTACAAAAAAATACTAAAATTTGCTGTTTTTCTGCATGAGCAGCACAAAAATAAACCAATCGGTTTTCCATTTCCACAGGAAAATTTGATGTTAATCTAAATAAAGTTGCACTGAATATTGTAAGGTATGATTATTTTTTAAATATGTATTTACAATATGTATTTATATTTTTTAAATATGTATTTACAGATAGCAGAGGCTAACATAGCGACTGTTGAAGAAATTGCATCTGGTCTCGAAAGAAGTAATGTACCATTTTTATTTTCCTTACACTAATTAGGTTTAACATGAGATTATTTGATAAAATTTCTTGCCTTTTGAATTTAGTTTAATATTTAAAGAAAAAATGTTTTTCATAAAACTACTATTGAGGACATTTTTCTCAATTTAAATTACTTAGTTCCCACCATCTTGGTCTTTCTTTGGTTGTATCCATTCATTAATAGATGCCAAATGATCTGCTGGGCTGTATTAAGGCCAATTTTAATAATCAGATATAATTATAGCCTGACAAATTTGGCAGATTGTTTGGCAATAATTAATAATAGGGTTATTGTATTTGTCATCAGTGGAACATGGTAGGTCATTTTCTATTGATGTCTAACTTTAAAATAAAATTTTACAGATTTCTTTAAGTAATATTTTACTTAATTTTTTTTATAAACAATCCTCTGTGCAGCTTTTAAGATTTGGATTAAACAGTTTCAATACAATATTATTATATTATTGTTAATTGTCTACTTGGACATTATTTATTAATAGGACTTAATACTGGTGTTTAAAGTTTGAGACAGCAATGAGAGTTAGTTCAGGAAAAAGCAAAATTTCTTTATTATATCACCTGTAGTAATAGTTTCTGTACACATATTACACGTGTTTCGGGCTAGCATGCCCCTCATCAGCAGTACTACTACCACACACTAAAAAGTAACAATAATAAAACAAGATAAGTTATTGTATAAGTTAAAATTTTTTACATAGCCATAAAAATAATTTTAAAAAAACTCACTGTAAATACATACTCCAAACCCGAGTATAAATGTATTTTTCTCGTTGTATAATCAATTAACAAGTTAAACATTTCACTGTATAAATAAATTAAAATATAATAAATAAAGGTTGTAAATTATTAAAAACTAAAAACATTACATAGGAAAACCAAAAGAACTCACATCAAGGTTCAAATTTTCGCAATTCAACAGTATTATGGTAGAGAGACTTAACTATGCTTTTTTATAAACGTCATCTAGTATGGTGCTCCAGGATTGGTGGATTATACGACCCAAATTATTGTTTATTTTATTT